GAGCCTATTGCTAAAAAATTTTTATTTCATGTGCATTATTTGATGAGTCATTTTCCAACCCTTTCAATTTACTAATGAACTATCTATGCCCAATTCCCAAGTATTAATTGTCAAACTGACAGAAAAGAGTAAGAACACAAACAAGTACTGAAGGGACTTTGGTCAGCTCAAGTGTGGCAAGCATGGCTCTGGCAGGACTTGCCCTTCTCCCCAGTTCCTTCTGCCTTGCTATTACATTCCCAAAGCTAGCCACCAAAGTCTATTCCCTTATTTGACTACTTCCTCCTCCTAAGGCTGACTACCAAGGTCCAAATATTCAAGTATTAAAGTCCAGCAATCAGGGGCAGGAGAGATGGCTCAGAGATAAAGAGCACTGCCTGCTCTTGCAGAAGTCCTGAGTTCAATTCCCAGTAACCACAAGGTGGCTCAAAGCCATCTATAATGAGATCTGGTGCCCTCTTCTGGAGTGAAGACATACATGCAGGCAGAAGTCAGTATCCATAATAAATAAATTAAAAAAAAAAAAAGTCAAAAAATCAAAATCAAAATATACCACCGCATCCTAGCTCACTGTATCACAGAGCTCCCCTTTCTCTCTTCTTAAAAATTACATCTGCAACGTCATTTGCTGCTGTTTTCTGCCTGAGTCAAAAAGCAGCCACTTTAACTTTTGTTCTCCGCTTAATAAAGGACCTCTCTGTTAAAACAGGGGTTTGGGTGTGGTTCGTGCCCAATCTGGATGGGGGGGGGGGAAACCTCCGCTGCACTGGGGTCTCCTTTAAGCACTAGCCCCCTCCCCCTCCGTGACACCACTAGCATCATTTTCTCGTTTTTGAAATCAAGAGAAGCAGAACTAGTTCTAAGCTCGGGACTGGTTAAGGAGTGGTCTGTTTTGTTCAGATGTATACAAGGTGAGGGCTTACTAGGAATTCTGATTGCTGGGATTTGCTGGCAGCCCGTTTCAGCCGCACTCTCAATAACTTCACCACCCCTTCAACTTCATTTTCGTGCTTTTATCCATATACAACCATTTAAACTGGTAAGCTGATGAGTGAACTGGTGTATTCTTTCCCGTCTTACCTGTTTCAAGCTAAGCCCGAACTCTAATACAGAGCTACATTCTAGCCTAATGGTCTTCACAAGTCCAAACAAAGGAAATACCACCCATATTTAATCAGCTATAAAATAAGGCGCTTCAGAAAGTTAGACTCAATCAAGTTCACACAGAAAGTTGGAACCAGCCTGTAAACTGTGCACAAAGGCCTTCGCTGACGGCCAGGGCGTCCCAGACCACGGCTAAGGATGAGGTGAGCAGGCCGGAGAAAGGCTTCAGCAAGGATGATCTCACCGAGGTGATGCTAGCCTCCCTTCCCCACCGAGGCCCAGCCTGCGCGGCCCGGCCCGTCGTTCATTCCCTAGCCGGACCCTCTCCTGACGCTGATACTCACCATGGCGGTGGCGGGACCAGACAGGAAACACGGAGGCCTGAGCTGCGGCCTGAGGAAAGTAGGTTGTTTAGAAGCCACGGGTTGCCAATGGGAACGGAGGCACGTGGGCCCTCGGCTGTACATTGTCATTGGCCCTCAGTATCACGTGATAGAAAGCGCTGCGTAACTGGCTGATTTCCGCATGTACATTGGCTTCGAGATCCGGAAGTCCCACCTTTTCGCGTCACGCTAACTTGGGGCGGTGCATGCCATTGCCAATGGTAACAGAGAGGCGGTGTCGCGTGGAATTCCAGTGTGTTTGAGTACTCCGAATCCCGACAGAAGTTGGGGTCGGCTGGTTGCGCCTTGGCACCAGGAACCAGAGCGTGGTTCCAGACCTTTCGACCGCTTCTGATAAAAACAGGAGTGATTACCTGGGCTTCAGCGTGACAGCATCAGGCCGACAAGCCAATGCTGGAAATGATGCGCGCCCTTCCTCCATCTACGTTATATTATAATGCTGGCAGAAGTGACTAATTAAACTTTACCTTTGAAAAATGTGCAAACACATAGGTTTACATACAGCAGTTCATTAGACAGAGACAGACACTAGATTCTCCAGAACGTTGTGGAATAACGTCCTGGTCTCCCTGGCGGAAAATTTCACTTATGAAGTCTAACTTGAGTCATTGGAATCTGCAAGTTTAACCGTTGTTCCAAAGCGATAGACACTGTCCTTGGCTGGCATGGTGAGCTTTGCCTTTAATCCCAGCACTTGTAAAGCAGGCAGGGGCAGATGGATCTCTGTGATCTGTGAGTTCAAGGCCATCCCGGGCTACTTAATGAGACCCTGTCTTTAAAAACAACAACAAAACCACTGTCCTATGAAAGGCAAGTATAGGAAGAGATTATCACAAATACTGGGTTCCAGTGAACACACCCCATATTTTATGAGGAGGCACTTGGGTAAGCCAACATCGTGTAGAGCTGCCAGCCTTTTGAAACTGAGAGACTTAAAGCAGGAAGGAACGAACATTGAGGATTAATTTTGGTGGTCCATTTTGGGATTATCTATCACAGCCCAACACTAAGTACAATTTAAAGTGAATCACAATTGGGTGTTTTTGATGCAGAAGGATTTTAGAGACCTGGTTCCAGGACTGAGAATCTACAGACTCCCACGCTAGATGGGCACTCTGAAGCTTGACTCTGAAACCAATATAAGTATGTTTTCAAGGCAAAAATCAAAAGACTATTGTCAAGTTTTCTAATACAGTGGATGTTAAATAAGATTCTGGTTTCAAGGATTTTATCTTTAATTTTTTTGCCATTTTATTCCATCTAAATGATACTAAGTTAGGTAGAAAATTAGTAGCTGTCACAGGAGCTAAGCTTAATAACTTAAAAGTCAAATAGAGGGCTGGTGGGATGGCTCACCTGATTCAATTTTCTGAATCCACATGGTAGAAGAAGAGAGTCAACTCAGGAATATTGTCCTCTGACCTCCACCTGAACACTAAGCCATACCTGTGTTCCCCTTCCACATACACATGTACATGAGCATGCACGCATGCACACACCCACATCCCTTCCACATACACATGTACATGAGCATGCACACACCCACATCCCTTCCACATACACATGTACATGAGCATGCACTCACCCACATGCATAATTTAATTTTTTTTTTTTTTTTTT